TATCCTGACGTTTGGGATTCCATCGGCGTTCCCATGTTGCGTACTGAGACATTGCCTGAGGAAGAGAATCAGTCATGTGGGAAGGGCCGCGCCAAGCAACAACTCTGACGACAGCGAGCATGATTGTCGCCTACTTACCAATCCGAAACGGACAAAGAAATCGCAGCAATTAATGAATCGAACACGAAGTGTCAAGCCATCACCGCGCACCAATTAAGACCCAAGTGATGGCTACAGGAGAGGATAATTATAGTATGCACGCGGATGACCGCTACGAACTATAAATACCATGCAATCTGTGCATGTTTCACCCCTATCTGCGCATGACCCAGACTATTCTACCATCACCTATGATTAAGGATTCCCAACAAAATCCGAAGCGTCAGGAAAATAAAAGTCTTGTTCCAGTGGTCGCAGCTTCTTCTTCTGAACTGCTTCCTGGAACTCGCATATTCACTTCTATTGGCACTGATGCCTTAATTGCACTAGCCTTCGTTCGGAAAACACTGGGTGATTTTTCGATTCACCTTGAAAAAAAAATTGAAAGTGGTTGCCATTTTGTAATGCTTTTTAAAACAGTAACTGCATACGCTCTAATAATTATCCTATCATTTCTTTCAATTTTGAAGGAAATTAGCCCTTAATAATGAAGATAGAAAAAAGAGGAAACATGTGTACGTTAAGTACATGGATTCTGTTGTAATGTTGAGAAAAAGCCAGAATTTCTGCCATTCCCAAAGACCTTGTTTCAATCCCCCCAAAGGACGAACAACGAGAATAAGGCCGCAAGAAAAGGAAGTCTTTGTTGCGTACCCAGTATGCATATTTATGCAAGCAAGCGTTATCAGCTCAGACCAGATTGTGCCCTCCAGCGAGTAGTGACTCTATTGAATTGCGCCTTATATTACATTTTCATGTTAATCACCAATTTATCTTGCGGTCTAGGGCCTTCATCAGCAGTCGCGTAGCCACAACAATAGTGATACGCTAATGCTCTGTCTAAGACCAGGGGTCTCGGTCTCTGGTTGACTTTTCCTTGTCTATCCCTTGCGCAATCACCGCAGTCTGTTGGCCAGTTTAAACCTTCGGATGTTGTTTAACTTCCAACCAATGATTAGGTGGCTGTGAGTGTTGTGATGTTGCCCAAAGCCAAGCCTTGTGGCATTCCCATACGCTTTGTTTCAATCCTCCAAGGAGAACAAGGTCACAAAAAAAGGAGGTATTTATTGCGAACCTTTTAGGGGGTATTTAAGTAAGAAACGACTCGAACGGCAATTTGATTGGTTCATCCCTATTGGTTGTTAGCCTATCCGGCAGCCTCACGTGGTTTCGGCTCCTTGGAGGTCGCGAGTGCGTGTGGTTCTTCGTGTGTGTGGGCGGACCGGTAGCCTGGCGTGAGAGCGTCTCGTCCGGGCTGCACGCAAGCAAGTCCGTTAGCGCGGCTCGTAGCAGGTTCTATCTCGCCTATAGTGATTTCCAACAGCAGAGCACTAGGAAGGGTCTGCAGGTGATTAGGCAGTACATAGGTAATGAGGACCTTGAGGATGGCCAGGGTAGAATACGGTCATGCATTCTGAACAATGCACTTATGAAATAATCGTTTGAAGAAAACCCACACCAATGTCTGAACTATTTGATTTGAGTACTTTAACGGCGTCCAATCATCTGATGCAAAGGTTGCAAAGGTTAAAAGCTCCATGAATAGGTCTCGGATTAGCTCAATAAACAAAGAATTCGGCGTTT